AAGACTGTTCCCGCACTGCCTGCTCTTGGTGTTGAGAAATATAAATGTGTAAAACACATTTCTCTCCTGAACTTCAGGTCCTTTTCTACAAAAATACATGCTCTAGAAATTGAACACCAGTGATCTATCCATGCACTCCTTTTTTCTACCACACCGCTTTCTAATCCTTTTTTTTTTTTTTTTGCATTTCTTACGTCTTACACAGTTCCTGTTGCACTGGTTTCGAAATTTGTATCTGTATGTTTAGGACAAATGAAAAAAGATGTGGGAGAGGGCGGTCCTCCAATGAACAGTCACAGAAACGCCGATTAGCAGGAATACCCTGGAAGCGGCCCTTCATCTGTGCAGAAGGAAACAGGTAACAACGGACCACCATATATGCTCTTCTTAATTTAGGGATGGTCAGCACCAGGGCCGGCCCGAGGTTTTTTTGCGCCCTAGGCAGGGCTACCTTCTAGCGCCCCCCACACGTTGCCAACCACCAGGCGGGGCCTGGGGAAAACTTAGTTCAACTTCTCTCCCCCTTTGGAGGCTCCAGAGTTGCCTCAGCTCTGCCTAGGACCGGAGGGAGCTCGGCCTGCCGTCGACTGCTGAGGCGGTTGCAGGTGAGCTGGGCAGAGGAGCGCGCCAAGAGTGGCGCGGGAATGAGGCCAGGCCGTTTCCAGTTGACTTGCAGCCGCGAACACCCTTCCTCTGGCCGGCCAGGGCTCCCGTGCTCAGCGCCGGCGGCTAGGAGGAGGAGGAGGAAGGGGCCCCTCGTCAAGAGGGAACCCGCGGGCGGGGTGGGGAGATGGCAGCACTGGTGCCCAGGCTCCCCCTCCCTCCCCCAAGTTGGGCTGGGAGAAGAGCGAAGAGCTCAGGGGTACCAACGCCGCACAGCCCACTGCTCCTCCAGCCGAGTCTCTTCCCTCCCCCCCCCACCTTTGCGTGCATGTGGTTGCGGGGGGAGGGAAGCGAAGGGGCGGGCAGGGAGTGTGTGTGTGTTGGAGCCACGTTTTGCCGCCCCTCCTTCCTTCCTCCCTCCCCTGCTTCCCTCCCTCCCTGGCGCAGGGGGGGGGCGGGCGGGCAGAGACCAAGGCCTCAATCCCCGCCGCCTTTCCTTTCTCTCTTGCCAGGAGGGGAGGCTCAGCTGCTGCAGAGCCAGAGGGCGCAGCCCCCAAGCGCTTCCTGCCTCTGCTCGCTGGCTGCCGCCTCCTCCTCCTCCTGCGGCGGGGTCGGCAGGGAAGCCATCATTCAGGGCTTTTGGCGGGGGCTGGGGGGCTTTGGCGCCCCTAAGGGCCAGCCCGCACTCTAGGAGAATGCCTAGTTCACCTAGTGGGTGAGCCGGCCCTGGTCAGCACATACAAATGCCCTAAACACAGAGATGAGAGAGGAAACTTTTTGAGGAAATGGCTACTGAAATTCTCACCCTTCCCAGAACCTACAAGACTGAGACTCCTGTTGAATAGTTTCTGTTTTAACTGCATAACAGACGTGGCGAAATTTTGTTTTGCTGTGATTTTAAACCAGTAAACTTTTTAAGGTGTATGGCTTATGGGCTTTTAAACCTAAATGAATGAATGAAATTTGTATCCCAGCCTTATTACAAGCAGTTATTACGGTATTTGGTTTTACATTATTCTTCCTGTGTTGTTTCAGAATTCCTAATCCGCCTTGAGTCCAAGTGAGAAAAGGAGATCATGAAGTTAATAAATAACTGAAACGGTTCTGAAGCATTTTGCAAGCCGCATTGCACCAAGCCTATTCTCAGCTATCTAAATAACAACCGTAACTGGATGAAGAAATGCATTGCGCCACCACGCAGCCCTGTGGAAAGATGGCTCAAAGGGTCCCTTTATCCAGCGTAATCTAGAGGTGGCCTACGGAAGAAAAGGTAGACTAAAAAGATAATAGTAAAACTCAGCCACAGCAATTACTCATACTGGAATCCAACCCATTCCCCTTCATGTACCTATACCTAAAAATTAAATTTCAAAAAGGAGAAACGGAATCTTAACCAGAGGGTGGGCCCATGGTTTTGTTTTCCTACCAAAAATAAAGAGCCTTTTAACAATTCTTAGTCTGTCATCTTGCGTTTTTTTTTTTTTTTTGCAAGCCTTCGTTGCTCTAATTACAGCCTCAACTTGTTTCACAAGTTCAGAGGATCGGATGTCGGGTTTGGAAACATCCTGCGGTTGGCTGGCTTTACTTAAAAACCTTGATGCTCCATCAAGCCAGCCTTTTCGACTTTGGGCACGTTTTTAACACAGCCATTGTCGTACATCGAAAGCTGGTATTAAAGAGAAACATATACGTACACACACAGATACAAATTTTAAAAACCCAGACCACAACCCTAGAGGCGGTCCGTCCCGGATTAGAATCATGTTACAAGACTGTCATTGCTGAGATCGGGAACACAGTAGCATGCACCACATGCGGTCTCCAGAGCTAGCTGAGAAAGTGAGAAAGACCAACGTGGGAGCAGCATGTGAACTGCAGCACTTGGATCAAAAAGACCCAGGTTCAAATCCCAATAGTGGCATGTTATAGCCAGATGGTCTGGGGCTTAAAACTGGGACAGGAGTAGGAGAAAAGTTGTTTGGGGGGGAGGACGGTTTAAACCTAGCAACTGCATATATATGAAGAACATTTCGTTGCAGCTCTTTGCTTGCCACTGTTAAAAACTTGAGTCCAGTAGTACCTTACAGACCACCAAGATAGGTGGTACTGGATTCAAATCTAGCTCACCTACTGTAGACCAAAACATTTCTGCTCCCCCTGAAACTATCTTTATGGTTATATTACTTCTTTTGCTTCATTTACACCCTGCCATTCCCTAAACAGCATGATTAAAAGTAGAGACATCCCCCTGCCAACAAAAGTCCGCATGGTCAAAGCAATGGTATGCCCAGCAGTCAAGTATGGCTGTGAGAGTTGGACTATAAGGAAGGCCGAGCGCCGAAGAATAGATTCTTTTGAACTATGGTGCTGGAGAAGACTCTTGAGAGTCCCTTGGACTGCAAGAAGATCAAATCAGTCAATCCTAAAAGAAATCAACCCTGACTATTCCCTGGAAGGCCAGATAATGAAACTGAAGCTCAAATACCCCTACCCACCAAATGAGAAGGGAGCACTCACTGGAGAAGACCCTGATGCTGGGAAAGATTGAAGGTCAGAGAAGACGGGGACGGCAAAGGATGAGATGGTTAGACAGTGTCATCGATGCAACGAACATGAAATTGAGCCAACTTCAGAGGACAGCAGAAGACAGGAGGGCCTGGTGTGACCTGGTCCATGGGGTCGCGAAGAGTCGGACTCGACTGTGCGACTGAACAACAACAATTCCCTCCCAATGGGAACCAGTAGCAGCTTCCATCGCTCCCCTTCGGTCCATTTCATCTTCACAACAACCCTATGAGGTAGAGTAGGCAGCGAGTGTGTGTGCCTGGCCCAAGGTCACCCTGCAAGCTTCCATGGCAGAACGGGGATTTGAACCTGGGTGTCTCAAATTCTAGTCTGACGTTTTAACCACTACACCACACTGGGTCTCCTATGGGCTATGGGGAAGAGGGCTCATTCTGGCCAGGGAGTTTCCCCCAGACTTCATTTAGATACCCTCAAGGATTGCACAGCATCCTTGCACCTAAGCTGCTCCCTGTGTTCAGTAGCCCAAAATGCACAGTTCTCTGAAAATGTATCCCCCTGTGGAAGTTTTAATCTCAGACAGAGCAAGAGTTCAGAGCTTGTGAGGGTGTCAAACAGCACGGAACGCTGTTACCTTCCCACCGAAGTGGTCCCTATTTATCTACTTGCAATTTCTTGCTTTCGAACTGCTAGGTTGGCAGGAGCTGGAACTAGAGACGGGAGCTCACTCCGTCATGCGGCACCCGGGTCTCGAACTGCTGAACTACTGACCTTCCACAGCCTGCAGTTCAGCGTCTTAACCACTTGAGCCACCGCAGCTCCTTTTAAGGAAAGCTCCTATCCTGCCACAAATTTTGCTAGTTCTTAAGGTCCTATTGGACTCTTGCTCTTTCCTAGTATTCCAGCACTTTAGCAAAGCTTTGCGAACACCCCGGTGTGCCTTCACAACCCCAGAACTCAGCTCTACCCTACCCCTGGACTTCCCATTTTAAGTCCTTAGCTACAATCCCTCCGGTTCTCCGGCACTGCCCGGACTGCTTCCTTTTGCATCTTCGCGCACGAAACAGGCTTCATTCCAGATTGATGTGAAATACTTACTAGCCCACACCCAGATCCTGTTCTCACAAATTAGTAAGAACAGAGCAACACATTCAGGGTTGCTTTGTTTACAGAGAAATCACACCGTGAGGTGAGAAACCCCTGTAATTCATTCTGTGGCTGCCGGTTCCCATAAATGTGCCCCTGTTTGCTAAAGAAAAACCACAGAGCTTCTAAAACAAAAGACTCAGCAGTCCTGGATCCTGTCCGCCCCATGCCACACGCGGGTGCCATTTAGAAGAATAATTTTAGAAATCAAACTATATGTGCTTTAAAAAAGAAGAAGAGTGACTACACACGTCGTTTTATTGGGTTATCGTAGCTGTGACGCAACAGTTTATTGTTGTTTTTATTTTATGGTATTCTCATAGAATGTTGTGTGTTTTCTAACATTTTATTTTATTTCGTTGGACCTCTAGCTCTCCCTCTTCTACACAGCAGGCTCAGGGAGGGTTACAACATTCTTAAACATACAAAAACTTAGACTAGAATACAGGGTTTTTTAAAAAAAAATGCCTGAGGCACTGTTTCATGGTGCTTACCAATTAGAAAAGGAGCGGGGAAAGAGGGAAGAGAAAAGAAAGCAACAAACAGATGAATAAGTAAAGGGATGGTGGTTGACTGACTTTTAGGGAAGGGATACGGTCGACAGGGAAAGCCAAAGTCTCGCTGACACGTTCCTTGCAACAAAATTGGTTGGAACCTTCTGAGATACTTGGCCAAAAGTGGACCGTGTCCCACCCGACGCAGGAGGAGGAGGAACGACTGGCGCTTACCTCGTTTGTGGAGCCAGCCTTCCTTCACGATGGCGACTTCATTCATAATGGCGGGACGTCTCTCCAGCAAGTGACCGATGCCAGAAGTTCAGCCCCCACCACACAAGACACGGCCTTCCCCCCCCTTCCTCGTTCCCCTTTTCAGCTGTCCCTGAAAGAAAAAGGAAAAGAGAACCACTCTTAATTGACGCAAACGAGCAGTAAAAGATACAGAAAACAAACCGCTGTAAACTCAAGAGGCGGGATACACATTTCTTGTTGTTCTCTTAAAGCAAGAGGAGGGGGGAAGGATGCTAAAGATACCAGGGAATGTGAAGCCATGGCTTGGGGCGGGGGTTTCAGGCTGTTCAAAGCAGGCACGGCGTGAAATACGGAAGCAGCCTCAATACAGAAAGCCACCTTTAAAGTCAGACACCGCAAAGAAAAAAAATGGATTGTTTCCTGCACTAAACACACACTACTGACAGCAAGTCTCCTGAGCCACATTTTGTCAAAACCAGTCTTTCATTAAAATTTTGGTGGTGGAAATTGCTGTCGGGTTGCCGACAATTTATGGCGACTCCCCCCCGTAGGGTTTTCAAGGCAAGAGACAAACAGAGGTGGTTTGACGTTGCCTTGCCTCTGTGTAGTGATCCTCGAGACAAACAGAGGTGGTTTGACATTGCCTTGCCTCTGTGTAGTGACCCTGGGCTCCCATCCAAATGGAGACCAGGGTTGGCCCTGCTTACCTTCTGAGATCTGACAAGATCGCACTATCCTGGGCCATCCAGGTCAGACCATTTAAAATCTACCAAATATTTAATTGCTATTCCACACTGTAAACCTTCTTTGTGGATACATAAAGAAAAACATGCATACACACTAGCGTATGGGCACCTCTGGAAAGGCCAATCCAGAATACTCATCTGATTTCTGAACCGTTCGCAACGTTTGAAATAAGGAGTGAAATCGTAACATCACTTCCACTAGAGCTGCCGGATATATCTCACCAGTAATAATAATTAATAATTATCGTATGGCATTGTGTATAGGACAGCCAGGAGATCCTAAGATTGTCTGGCGGCTGCAGGTTCTAGCTCTTGAAGTGATGCTAGTGGTGAGCTAGGCTCTGAGAGAGCTCTGAAAGAACTGTGACTGGCCCAAGGTCAGCCAGCTGGCTTCACCTGGAGGAATGGGGAATCGAACCCGGTTCTCCAGATTAGACAGCACCGCTCCTAACCACTACACCAAATTGCGCTCGCTTAAGCAGCACATATACTAAAATTGGAACGATACAGAGAAGATTAGCATGGCCCCTACGCAACACCAAACTGATTTTCACTGGTCTGGCCACTGCATGGTCAGACCAAGTAGAACTGGGGATACATGAAGACATTAAGCCACTGATTCTGCCCATCTCACTACCACCGACCCTTGCCAAGGGAGCCGGTGTTTTGAAAAGCAAAGTTTGTCAACATCCGCTCCTCAGGAGAGGAAGCCAACAGCATGTTCCTTCATTCCATTTCCTAAAACATGCAGCCATACTTCCTAGCTTCTTTCAATGATTATGATCTCAGAGCCAGTTTGGTGTATTGGTTAAAAGAGCAGACTCTAATCTGGGTGAACCGGGTTTGATTCCCCACTCCTCCACGTGCAGCTGCTGGAGTGACCTTGGGTCAGTCACAAGTTCTCTCAGAGACGTTCTCTCAAAAGCAGTTCTCGAAGAGCTCTCTCGGCCCCACCTACCTCACAGGGGAAGGTGAAGGAGATTGTAAGCTCCTCTGAGACTCTTTCGGGTACTGAAGGGCGGGGTATAAATCCAATCACTTCTTCTACTACTACTCCAACCTTGTGCAATTGGGGGAACACGCTCCCCACGATCCTCCCGATATGCACCGTTGGTATTTTGTGTGAAGAGTTCAATGCACATATTCCCCCACTTTGATATCCAAGGACACGTTTTGGCAAATCCTAGAACGCTGCCGTCTGTACCATGACTCCACTTCTTAGCGCCAGAAGCAATTGTCGCTTGCTGGCATGATGCTGGCATGCTTGTCCCTGCCCCCAAAATCCTCCAGGTGGTAGCCTGGCATCCCTAGTAGGAGGACTGTGAGATGAGGGGGACAAGGTAAGCTAGGAAGAGGATCTGAGACGTTCAGTGACAAAATCTGGGTTTGCTTTCACACACACTGAATAGCATACTTTTAATCCACTTCACAACTGGACTTTACTGTGCGAAATGATAAAATCCACTTGCAAACGGTTGCTGAAGTGGACTGGAACTGCATTATTTAGCAGGTGTGAACCTTCACACCCAGAGGGGGTCGTCTATGAAATGGCCATGAGATACAGCACCTTGCTCAATACCGCTTTAGATTCTGAAGCGCGAATCATAAAAAACAGAACACAGCCTTAGCATTAAACAATGTGAGATTCCCGCCCTATACGTTGGGAGAGGCAAAGTAAACAAAAGTTTTTCTGCAAGCAGGCCCCATTTCAATAAGTGTGAGAACTGCAGGTATAGTGAAATCATATGCGTGGTGGCTAACTCTCAGATCCCTTCACCCGCTTCAAAAGCCTCCAGCGTTCTGTGAAAGAAACTGGTCTGGTATATGAATACAAGAAAAGCGCAATTTTCAGTCCTAGCAAATCCTCAGTTCTCTACAGCCTGAGGATAGCAGTCCAAATAGTCCACCTTAGCCCAGGCTTGTCAGACATAGGGAACCAAAGCAGGGTTGGCCTGGTAAGTACTTAAATTGGACGCCACCAAGGAAGACTGGGATTGCTGTGCAGAGGAAGGCAATGGCAAACCACCTCTACTTGTCTCTTGCCCGGAATGCACCATGGGGTGGGTCGCTGTGAGTGGGCTGAGATTCAATGGTGTGTTCTTCTTCATGGGGAATAGGAAGATTTAGCTACTGGTCTTTCAGCAGCTCATTTAGGTTAGAGAAACAAATTTAGAGTCCAGCGACACCTTTAAGACCCACAAAGGTTTATTCATGGTATGAGCTTTCGTGTGCATGCACACCTTTTCAAATAACACTGGAATAGAAGGTAAGAGTTCAAACTTATAGACAGAGGTTGAACAGCAAATTAACATTGTAACCTGATGAAGATGTTTTAAGATACGCAAAGACAAAACTAAATAACAAGCTAAGGTTATAAGGTTATAAACTAAGGGGGGGGGAACAGTAAAGCAATAAGTACGTCAAAATAGGAGATAAATGTGTAAAGGTATCTTTCCTAGTTGTGGGAAGTAAACTGTGACTCTCCATTCATCTCCTCTCAGACGTGGAGGTAACTGCAGCATTTCTTAAAATTATTATTGAGATGGTAACATTTTCAGGGTCAGGACATGCCCAAAGTTACCCTCACCACATTCAGACGTGGTGAACAAACGCTGATTTGTTCACGAGGAGAACAAGTTAGGCTAACGTGGCCTCTCCTGCAACCCCTGGTATACAGCACAGAGATCGAATGCTTCCTGGTTCCTCTGACGAAGGGAACTTTGATTCTTTAAAGCTCATACCCTGAAAATCTTGTTCGTCTCGAAGAGTTACTGGGCTTGTATCTAGGTGTTCTAGTGCGAACTGGTATGGCTACTGTCTGAACCTATCTTCCTGGTTTGGGCCTATCTGCAGTCCTGTTGCAATGCGTGAACTGGGCAACCTTGTAGTTTGTACTCTTGCTTACAAACCAGAATTCTAGACAACCATTTGATCCTGGTTTGTACGCAGGAGAACGAGCCGCAGTCTGTCCAATTCAGACATTATAACAAACTGCAGAGAAGAAGAAGAAGAAGAAGAGAAGAGATTGGATTTATACCCCGCCCTTCACTTGGGAGTCTCAGAGCAGCTTATAAACTCCTTTCCCTTCCCCTCCCCACAACAGACACCCTGTGAGGTGGGTGGGGCTGAGAGAACTCTGACGCAAACTGCTCTTTTTCAAAGACAGCTGTGCCAGACCTTGTGACTGACCCAAGGTCACATCAGCAGGTGCAAGTGGAGGAGTGGGGAATCAAACCCAGTTCTCCCAGATTAGAGTCCGCGCACTTAACCACTACACCAAACTGGTAGCAAACTGGTACCCAAAGCAGGTAGCATTCAGTCTCTGCACTGGGATGGGACACCCTCCACTGATGTCCGTGAATGGTGGGGAACCACCAAGTCACGACTGCAACAAAAACATCCTTGGCGCAAAGAAGAAAAGCTGGGAGGAGAATGATTTCAGTGGGGTGCTATCCAACGACGTACGGCTCCTCCCTGCTACAATTCCACATGCAGGTGAACTGGGAACAGGAATAACTAGACCTTGCCTTGGCCTGGATGGCCTTGGCTAGCCTGAGCTTGTCAGATCTCCGAAGCTAAGCAGGGTCGACCATGGTTAGTACTTGGATGGGAGACCAGGGTGACTACCCAGAGGCAGGCGATGGCTCTCTACTACTGACAAATAAGAGGTTTGGATTTTCAACTCATGTTCCCCTGCAGCCACACAGCAGCTATGGGGAATGGGTTTTTGAAAAATAAAGGAGAGAGAGCCCAAACGGATTCAGAACACCACTGCGGGGGAAGGAAGGACTCCTGCCTCCCACCCACCCAGCCACTTTCCTGAGCCAAAACAGCACTAGGGGAGCTATTTCCCCATTTTTCCTATTCTGCACAGCAAAAATGCAAAAATAACCCACCCATCCCCGTGCTGCTGTGCAGCTGCTGGGAATCTGGACCAAACTCTTTAAAAACCCGAATACCTAGTTTGGCACTTAGTAGCACATAGGAGGGGCTGCGGTGGCTCAGTGGTTAAAACACTGAACTGCAGACCAGAAGGTCGGAAGTTCAGCAGTTCAAGACCCGAGTGCTGTGTGACGGAGTGAGCGTCCGTCTCTGGTTCTTGCCAACCTAGCAGTTTGAAAGCAAGAAACTGCAAGTAGATAAATAGGTACCGCTTCAGTGGGAAGGTAACAGCGTTCCATGTGCCTCGGCGTCTAATCCTGCTGGCCACATGACCACGGAAACGTCTATGGACAGTGCTGGCTCTTCGGATTGTAAACGGAGATGAGCACTGCACCCTAGAGTTGGATTCAACTGGCTTTCGAGCAAGGGAAACCTTTACCTAGCACATAGGAATATAAGAAGAGCCCTGCTGGATCTGACCAGTGGTCCATCTAGTCCAGCA